GTTAGCAAAAAACAATATTCATTAATCATAAATATTCAAAAATGTTTTTAAATATTTGATAAAATAATTTTTTATTTTATCCTCAATTACTAATAATTAATAAGAAATCAAAGTATGACGTGACTTTATATTATATTATTATAGTATAACAGATACCGTTGAAATGTAACAAAATAAATTATCTTTAAATTTGCTTATCGAATAAATGCTGTGAAAGTGAAAATTACTCATCGGCGTTATCACGTTTAATTAAAGGATACACGAAGTCACGAAGTATACGAAGATTATAACGAAAAAGTTGGAAATGAAGAAAACTAAGTTATGTTTTTTATCGTAACGATTCGTCCCCTTATATTTGTTATAACTTTATAAGTAAAGTTCAGTTCAATCAGTTCTTTAAAATTAATTAAATTAACAGATATTTCAAAAATGTGTGCAAACACATTCTTTTTGAAGTTTGTGTATACTGTATACAACATGATACACTGTTTCAGTTCAAACTTTTGGTACCCGACATCGGACTTCAAACTGATCTGTATATTAATATTTACTATTGCTATTTGCCGTTTCAAATCTTGTGAAATCTGTAAGTATCTGCAGTGAGTTACTGGAGTGTATGTAATCTTAGAAGTGCAAACATAGGAACATTTGACAATTCATATAGGTATATATAGTGTGCAGTTAGAATTAAACGTTTGTGCTATATAAAAGATATAAAAGATTACAAAGTTATTATTGAATTGAAGAGTACAGCACATTGCATTACGCTACGGAAAGTTTGAGTTCCAAATTATTATTATTATTATTAGTTTGCTTTCTAAAAGAAAAAAGAATATGAACTATATCGAGGTATATACGATATTTTTGATTTTTCCAAGTCGTTTCTACTTCGTACTTACAGAATCTTTTATTTAAAATTATTATAAGTACGGAAAACAAAAAATATTTTAAAACTAATTTGTATTCTATATATTTACATAAAAAAATTGTCCTTTCTTAATATCTACCTGTCTGAAAAAATCAATAGTTTCTAGTATCTATCATCGTTTTTAAATAAATATTTATATGTATAAAGTATTAATACAATAGCACTACTCAGTATTTTAATAAATTATAGATACCTACAATCTACATGGATATTGAAATACTACAAATATTTAGTATTATGAAGAATATTTTCTATAAACGTGTACATTTTAATAAATAAGTAATAATAGTTGTCATTTAAATAATAAATGTTCAATTAATTGGAAAAATTCAATGTTAACGTTTAAAAAAAAAAAAAAAAAAAAAATAATGTAATCAAAATATAATTATGTAAATAATATAAATCCTGAGCATTTGACAGCTAGTCATATTAAAAATAACATTAGTAATTATCACCAAATTGAACGTCTATTTTGAGTAGATTGAATTTACTGCTATTTTTGATAACTTACAATTTTAATTGTTTTCCAAACAAAATATGATTGATGTGAATAAAGCTATTCATGCCATAAGTGATATTAATCATTATTAAGTAATTTCGAAGTGATTACTTTAAAATATTTAGCTGAATTCACAAGGATAATTTATTGTAAATTTGTTATACCTATACACTTTTTTTTTTTTTGTGGTAGTGCTGTAGGTTCTTATGGAACTGTAGGTTGGTTTTACACGTGGGTGAGAGTTTTGGCAGAATTTCTATAGGGTCACCCGTAGGTTTCTGCCATGCCCCGGAGTGAGGGATAGCGGCACTTGTTCTTCGGACACCGTGACTTGCCCGGATAAAAATGCCGCCCGATGGTTGAGGATCGAACCCGGTCCGGCTGAGCCACAACCGACGCTATACACTTTTGTACCACAGTATATAGGTACAAGTCATATAAATAAAATATCGATACTTAGATTTTGACAGACAAAAGCATGGTTTCTTTTACGACACATAATTTCTATCTTAGCTTGTATAACATTATGATTTCTATGGATGTCAGCTCATAATTTTTTTTTATCTATCTGGTCCTCAGGAAACGTAAAAAAAATGTATTTATGGAAAATCGACTTTGAGTTGGTAATTTCAGAGTCATCACTAATCACCTATTGCAATATTTTTGACACATTAGTTTGGTATTTGATCATATATTCTGCTTTAAAAATACAAATTTTGTTTTGTAAATTTAAATGGCTACACAATTTATTGAGAATACATTTAGACTTAAAATTATATGTCAAACCCTAAAAAATATTATTTGCCATATAGTTTTGTAATAGGTGATTTTAATCTAAGATAACTCAAAAAAAAAACAAAAATATTTTGCTTGTATTCTTTCGTCCACGTTACGTGTGGTTCAGAAAGATTTCAGAGTATAAATCATAGTTTGCTTACATACTCTTATAGGTACATAATATTGGTTATTATATTGTTATGATGATTAAGATTGTTTCAGAAATAATTAAAATGAAAACAGAAAATCTGTGAACTTAAAACAATCCTGAGGTTAGATGCTTATAAACTTTTTAAACATATTTTAAGAAATATCGTGTATTTTAATTTTTCAAATATACCATTGATGTAGAATGTAGATGTACAAATTTTATAAAAATATCATTAACTATTTAATTTAAACCCAAAACTTCTTCAAATAAAATAATTATATGTATATGATTTTATTTATCACGTAGAAATCAAGTATAATAAATAAAATAGTATTAAACATCCTTAAAATAATTACCAACTAAATTAATTCCAATGAGCATAAATTTGTAATTTGTCATAAAAATGAATTATATTTCAATCAAATTTATCACGCAAAAATCAATTGGATTTTTTGTCTACTGAATGAGTTTTTATTTGTTTATAAATGTTTATAATTATGTAGACTGAAGACACAATTTTCGAGAAAATAAGTAATAATACAAGTACGTATATTAATAAATAATAGGTAARTTTTGTTTATGTTTTTGGTATTGTAAATTGTAATGGTAGAAACAGCTATTTCATCGCTTTGGTACCTCGTACCTATTGGTATTTTATACGATAATATAGACAAGCGAATATGTATATCWCTAAAACGTAACAAAATAAAAAATATTTGAAATTTTATGTATTGAAAATATGTATATTTATTGTATAAAAGTTAAAAAAAGCATATTTTCCTTTTTTTTTTTTTACTAAAAACCATAATTAAAACAGGCAGGATTATGTGATAATCTTATGGTCTTTCAAAAGTTGAAATATTTGTTCTTTGTTCTTAAACATTTTTTTTCTTCATAACTACGTTAAACTTATAGCAATATAGTAAGTTATGTAGGTAAATTARCGAATATAATGTCGTTATTAATTTACAAACTACATACCATATTTATAACTTATATAGTATAAAAACCCAGAAATGAAATCGAAACTAGGAATAAACTTGAACTTTAAAAAGRTGATACTTTCAACAATGTTTTTATTTATAATAAAGATAATTTAAAAATGAATTCGGGACCATTGTTAATGATTTATAAACAATTTACGCTTATGAGAACTACACGTGAACATTTTCTAATCCACCTGTGTACTGTACTGCATACTGTTATTATAGCTGTTATGGTGTTTGCGCAATTTATAATGCGCATAAATACCTATTAATATATTATATTATTATTATTTTAGGTATCGTGTACACGAATAAGTTTGAATAATAATAAATGTCTTAAATGTATATACTACATGCATAATAATATTATTGTTGTCTTCATGTACTTTATTTATTACATTGTGCTGTCGTTATGACGTATACTACATTGTATACATTTAATTAATATTCATAAATACAATATACCGTATGAGTAGAGCACCTATAGATTTTTGAAATTAATTAAATGTATACAATTTGCAAATTCTTATAAGATATCGACCGTCAGCAACAGGAAAACGGTCTGCGCAGTAAATTAAATATTCTTAAATTCTAAATCCCTAACCTAACCTACTATATAATAGGTATATACAAGCGCTAAAATAATAACATCGTAATACAAAAAGTAATAGATCTAAAAGTAGAGTCCTACCACTGTATAGCGTGCAGGCCGTCACAAATCTCTATATTGGTTATGAGGCTGAAGTTTATTAAGTTTATTTTTTACCATCTGTTTCAGGGTACACTTAGAAATAAACAAATTCTAAGAATTGTTGAATATATAGAGACGAAATAAGAGGTGTGGTGACTTGAATTTCGAAGCCTATTCAAAAAACGTGGTGCCCACATCACCCCCTCCACCTTTATGAACATTCACAATAATACATGATATTATGTGTAAAAGTATTATTATTTCTATTTGGAAAAATGTACTTTGCTAGGGGAATGATTTTCACAGATTTCAGTGTCACGAGTTTACAATTACTTAAGTACAATATGTTGCTGTTATTATTGGAATTGGATCAACGAGCCCAAACAAGTGCAACGAATAATGCTAAACTGACATACTACGAGTATATTGTATTCTGCACGCCAACCAAACAGAATAGACGACTTTTTATGAATATAATAATAAATATATCTATTATAATAATAGATTATGAAACGGTCGTGTGATAGTCTCGAGGGATGGTAATCAAGCGGGGAAACAGGTGGTAATAAAACATCATTATTTCTATCGGGCAGCGGCGGCGGTGACTTCTGCACGAAAGGAGCACAACAAGTGGTGAATGTCGAAATAATGCGATTGCGATACGACAAGGATGACGATGTGTTGATTAACACTGTAATATTATTATAATACATCCATGTGTGACGGATAAATTGTACTCCAATAATCGGTTATGAAATTGTAATAAATATTAGAATATTATGCTATAGGTACATTAAATTGCATAATTATTATATACCACTAGGGACTAGGGTGTCGAGTGGCGACAATGGCATCGATATAATATTATTAATCATTATTGTTATAGGCTTGTTCGTGACAATTATTGACGATATCGGTGTAGTGAAATATGTTAGTGCGGGCGGTGGTGGAGGAGTGGATCGACTTACCGTCTTGATACGGCACGGCGGCGGACGTCGTGTGAAACTCGCCGAAAAACGTACAGGAACACGCGACAAGCAGCACCACGTCCATCGTACGGAACGCGTACACAAACGACATGACAACGGCGGCGGAGGCGAAAATGTGTGACCGCAAGCGTCGTGTGACCGTCGGCAGACGACGCGCAGCTGTTACTGGCTACTGCGTGTGTGTCGCTGCCGCGGTGTCGTTGTCGCGCGTCGCGCCGTCGTCGCCGAGCGTTCAAAATTTCAAATAATGATAAAAACAATACGCCGCTACGGAGCGGAGGAGGCGTTGTCGGCCGGACGCGCGCGCGCAAACGCGAACGCCACCGCGGGTTTTCCCCATCGCCGTTCACGAATCGATAAAAAGTCCACGGGGCTGCTTTGCTTCCACCTACTCCCCCCCCCAACCCCCTCGCACATACGAACGCCCCCGTAAACCCGACTACAGCTTTTGCGTAGGCTGGACGAAATCGATTATAATAATATAGGTATACATTTGTGTGCACTGTATGTATATAATATATAACTCGCGAACGGGGTTTTACCACGTTAAATTCCTAACCCCTCCCCCCAACCTCCAACCCCACTACCGCCATCACTGAAGACGAAATGGAGAGGAGTGCGCAACGCGGTCAAAAACGCGCGAAAATTTGAATTTAATAATAACGAAATTACACTTCAACTGCAAATAGGACGACGGTCCTTTCTCCTTTGCGTCAATAACGTATAAGCTTAGTACGTCGTTCGTGTGACTATTTAAATAAAAAATTAGATACATTTTTTTATACCGCGGTGATTATAGATAGGTTAGTTTTGGTGATACACAATTTATTGTTTTCTCTGAAGCGCAAAACAAATTATTTCAAATATTTTAAAATATTTGTTTTTGGGCTGGGTACAACTTTTTTTTTCTAGTCGATTTTCGGGAGACCGATTTTTGCAACGCTTTGTTACCATAGAAACACAAATTAGCAATAAAAAATAAAAATAAATTTTCACAAAATGCTACTTAGATATTTTTCCGGTGCACCATAATATACGCTCTAACCTAACCTAACCTATATCTACGTAGTACGCATTTATTAATGCTAATAATAATATATGGTATCATATTAAATCAGTTGGTTATAATAAAGAATGTATATAAAAAAATTTATATTCTGGTATGAATTTATAACATATATTTTTGACGAATGTAAGTTCAAATTTGGCAGTTATTCAATTATTTAATATTTTTACCAATAAACTTTCTATTTTCAGCAATCTATTGGATATAATATTATATTTATAAATTTTCTCAGACATAATAAAACCTAATAAAATATCATATGAAAATCGATTTTTACATATTATGAGAATCAATTCGTACACTTTATTTGACCCCGGAACAAATTCCATATTACCCTAAAAAATGTATTAATGATTAATAATTTTTACTTGATGAGTAAAATATCTACAGGCAAACTACTTAGACTGATAGACCATTATATTATTTGGGTACGAACAATATTTTTAATAATGTTTTGAGTCAACAAAAATCAATCCATTAAAAAAAAAATATATCAAATATGAACATTATTTTCCCCATCATTGTACGTATATGAGCGCCATGACAGTATGCCACTGTCCAATTTTTAAAACATTATTTAGACTTTATTAAACAACAAGATGTGCAAATTAACAAGTACAATATTATTCGTACAGGAAAAAAATTATTTTAAAATATGTATCGTTATGTTAGTTATAGAATACCACATGATGTAGGTATAAATATTTTTAATTAAAAATTAGTAGGTAGGTACTTGTGTACAATTATATATGTATATAATTGTACAGTTTAATAATAGCTTATAATTTATACCACAAATAACTGATTTCACAATCAAAATATAGCTTTGTCAATTTTTGTAGTATTTCTACAATGATTCGTTATTATTTAATTATTATATTTTATTTTAAAAAAACCTTCTTTTTAAATATGCATATAATTATATATAATATATACTTTAATTTACCCACCGGTCATCGCCTACTATTAAAGGTATAAATTATACCATTCTTAAAACAAATATTTTTTCGCAAAGCTATATTGAGATTGAGAATGTATAATGGAGAAAATCATAAAATAACATACATATACATATATATTTCCTTTTGCTTTAGCCTCCACTTCGGATACACCTTACTACTTTAGCACTCATTTTCTTTCATAGATATGTATACTTACATTTTTTTTTTTTTGAATTAATAACAATTTATTTAATATAGAATAATATATCCTAGACAGACAAATCGTCTCCGCTCAGAATCGTTCTTCGTATACAATGATATTATAATATTATTGAATTCAAATTTAATACCATTTATTATAGTAACCCACTTGTAACCTACTGTACAGTGTACAGCAGAGTGACATCCACTTGCTCGCTTTTTTAAATTCTAAATTTTAATAATTATTGGTAGTTAACGTTTAAAATATTATCATTGATTTACTATTGTTTGACCACAGAGTGCATTAGTGAACACATAGTATTATGTTCATATATTTTCAAGGGTACAAAAATTTACAACAAAACTAGTAACTTTTTCATGTTTTTTGATTATTTTCCTCGTTATTCAGTTTTTCAATGACACATCTGACTACACTAATTATATTAATTATACATATATGCACTTTGTGAATGAAGCATCTGTGCAGCGCAATATAATAATTTATAATGTAATATACTTTAGACGTGTTAAAATGAAATTTTGTTCAATATACTCTTAGCTAGCATGATGTTCTATATTACATACCATATACTAATTATCTTGGCTAACATTAGTACTACAATGAGTGTGCTTGTGTGTGTACATGTCTATTCACAAACACTACTGGCATAAGCGTGCGCTACGGGGGAGGCAGGGGAGGCGGTTGCCTCCCCTGCGAGATTTTCCTCTACACCAAAATATAATATTATACCTACCAATTGGAGAAAATCGGGTGGGGGGATTGGAGTCTGGACCTCCTTAGCTAAAGTATTGCCTCCCCTGCCAAGAATACCTACGCACGCTTATGACTACTGGACATTTTAACCCGACCAGATAAACGCGTATTAAATTGTTATACACGATACATAATATACGTTTGTTGTCCAATTGTTTTTCCTTCTTATACAGTCATACAGAGTAAAAAACACTATAAGAAACGGATAAATTTACTAACTGTCACACAAAAAAGGTTATGTAACACACCTTATTTCGAACAAAAAAAAAACATACGTTCAGAAAGAAATTTATCGTTTTGTGATAAAAATAACCTTATTTACATCTCTTTAATACAATTTCATCCGATAGTAATTACTGTAGTTTCTTTCTTTCTTCTTGGCTTTTACGGGCAATTTAGGTCCATTGCCGCAACAACCATTTACCTCCATCTATCTCTATCCTGAGTTAGTTCTTTTCCGTCATTCACTCCCAGTCTCGATGCATTTTTTTTTATCCTGTATTTCCACCACTGTCTGGGCCGTCCTCTCGGCCTTCTTGTGTCCGGCCTCCGGACCTCCACACATGTCCAGCCCATCCCAGTCTACTACTCTTAAGGACTCAAATTATATTTGTTTCGCTATATAGTTCTTCTACTTCTCGGTTTGTTCTTACTTCGAAGTCCCTTAGAGTGTTTCTTTTTGGCCCAAATATCCTTCTAAGAACCTTCCGTTCAAACGTAGCTAGTCTATTTTCGCCTGTCTTTATTGTTGCCCAAGCACCGCAGGCGTATAGTGCTACCGGTCTTATCAGAACTTTGTACAACGTTATTTTCGTTTTCCATGATAGTAGTTTTGACTTGAGTAGGGGTACTAGTCCAAAGTAGCATTTATTTTCCGCTACCAGTCTTAGTCTAATTTCTTCATGACTGTCCGCCTTCTCATTAATATTTGCCCCTAAATTTTAAAGTTTGCTACTCTCTCAAAGTTATAATTATTCACTTTCAAATGCCTTATTTCATGATTGTGTCTCGTGACTATTATGTACTTTATTTTTTTTTTCATTCACCATTAATCCAATTTTTCCACCCTCTTCTATCTGTTTGTTAGAAGTTCTTTTAAGGTCTTCCTCACTCTCCGCCATTATTATTACATCGTCTGCGTATCCTGCCACTACCAGTTGCTGATCATTTCCTATTTTGATTCCCGTTGCTCCATCCAAAGTCTCACTCATTGCTGATTCCAGCGCTATATTAAAAAGGGCTGGTGATAAGGCGTCTCCCTGTCTTAAGCCTGTCCTTACCTCAAATTCTTCTGACTCTTCCCCTCCATACTTAACTTTACATTTCGACCCATTCACACATGCTCGAATCATTCTTATGATCTTTYTTGGTATCCCCAATTGGTCCATTACTTTCCATAGTCTTTCTCTATTCACTGAATCATATKCAGCTTTGAAGTCCACAAACAGTAGATGGACATCTTTGTCAAACTCGTGGCTTTTTTCGATTATCTTTTTGACAACATGGATTTGGTCCAGTGTCGATTTGCCAGCCATGGAACATGTTACTGTAGTTACTAGATATAAATTATAACATTATACACATAAAAATTAATTTTAACATTACTCATAACAAAATAGATAATTACAAATTTTCATACAGGTATTTAAAATTATATTATGTTATAATTTTATTCACACAATAATGATATTATGATACTAAAATTGTTACATAATAGCTTATAATGCCTAAGTAAAAATAAAAAATAAATCTTTGGAGAAATTTTCATGTCTTTATAAAGCCTGTTCATACTTTATACAAGAAATAATGTTATAATCTTATGATTATAATAATAATATAGCTGTATATAATATATGTATGTATCAACCGGTGTTACTGAGCCAAATATTTGGTTTTTTTAAGAAATATATTTGTGAATATATATATATTAATTGATGACACACTGATTATAATAATATTATAAAAATATATAACCTGCTTATGACAACCACATAAAAAAAATTGTCTTTTCGTGAACTGAAAAAAATGTCATGAGTGATTGTTACCCTTAAGCTATACCTATTAATAAAAGATTTGAAAAAATAAGCTATAAACGATCTATAGGTCTCAAGGTAATATCAATTGATATAAGTGAAATAACTTCTATTGAAAACGGTCCAGTAGTTTTTGAATATTTTATCTTCGGATAACAGTCCTGAGACCATTATC